GGGACCGATTGCTGCCGTCACTTGTTCCGTCACGGAGAGCAACGCACGACCAGAGGAGCACTTCGCAAGGCGTGCATACGCACTGCACCTTTCTTTCGCTCGTAACACGTCCCGCCACTGCCGCTTCTCCTCCCAGCCTTCCCGGCTTGTAATCCCTCCTTCCACTCACCGATCTCGTCATCTTTTCCCGCTTTCCTGCGTCATCTATCTTATTCTTCATTTGGGCTCAAGCTCATTTTTCTGCTTTGCCTGGCCCTGTTGTGGCACTGCCAAGTGTCTTTTCTCCTACCCTCGTTGGTTACCCTCTCCCTTGCACCCAGTCCTGCCCCCCTCTTTCTTCCCCGTGCTTTTTCCCATCATTGGTTTTCATCATTTAACATTTCTTTCTTTGGCCATCATGCAAAAATATCATCAGAAAAAAGAAATGCACTTGAAATGCCTCAAGACAAACGTCACAAAAAGAACCACTCCTGTGATGTGACGCACAGGCTGCTCAGACTGCCGCTCTCCTTCCACAGGACGGCAGAGGAGAGGCACTGCCCGGAGGAGGCCCCTGCTCATGCGTTCGCACAGCTTCAGAGAACCAGCGACCCAGACTGAGCTGCCCAGGGAGACCCCTCGCTAGCTCTGCCTCTGTGTGCCAGGCGTGTGCGGGTGGAAGAGCCGAGACACGCGACGAAGCAAGCAGGAGGCAAATCTCACACAACGTTGTTTTACCTCTTGGTGACTTGAGGTTGTGTTTTAGTTGCAATTTGCTGAAGTCTTGCAGCTGACTTAAAGAGAAAAAAAAAGATTAAAAATATATATATATATAAAATGAGCATAAAAGATTAGCCTGTATAAAATGCAACTATCTAAAGGCTGCAATGAACTATACTGCAATTATTTATAACAATAATAAAAAGGGAACTCCGAGAGCAACTGGACGAAAAGGAGTTATTTTGACTCAGGTTTCAGTCTGGGTGGTAGGGAGTCTTACTGCCTACTAGACAAGCCCAACCATGTCTCGCAACCCAGTCCAGCGAGCGAGGAAGCAGGCAGCCATTCACGCAGGTAATTCACTCACTGCTGCCAGAAAAGGCATACGTTATGAACTGAAAATGAAAAAAAAATAACGCAAGAGAATGAAGGAGCGCGGAAATAAGGGTAAAGACTTGGATCTACGCGTGACAGCATTTGAAATTCCACTGCCTTCGCCTTCCAGACAACACGAGAGGAACTGCAGCACGGTTGTGTGCACCTGGACGAGGTATGCTCGGAGGAGGCCTCCTCCCAGCAGCTCTCCCACCAGCCTCTCGAGCGGGAACGCAGGGCACGGGAAGCAGTGGGAGCACGCGCCCACAACGCTGGCACCGGCACCTTCGCCGAGCCCCGAGCCCCAGGGCCACCCCAGGGCCCCGCCGGGCCCGGCTGCTGCTGCCACCGAACACCCCACCGGCAGGGTTTTGCTTTCCTCACTTCTCTAAGTTTGACCACTGACCTCCCCTCTTTGGAAAAAGCTAACCAGCAGCACAAAACCCCAATTTTTTTATCCAGCCAGGGTAGTCCTGACGTCTCAGGAAGCTGTCGTGGCTTTCCTAACACTGCCACTGCCAGGGAAGGGTTCCACGACGAGAGGATGACGGCACGGTTATGACACCTGGAGACCGCGTTTTGATGCTACTTAGATTCTATACAAACCTCATGCAGCTTTAAAGCAGCAAAGAATTTAGCATTTTCTGTAATGTTCTTTAGCCTTTTCCTTTCATACGCTGACAACTGCGAGTATCCATCCTGCAAGAAGAAGAGCCAGTCACTCCCCATCGTACAGTTACACGGCGCGCAAGAGGTGTCCCAGGCTCCTGGGAAGTGAGTCTCGAAATTGATTGTCTAAATTCCTTAACAGTGGTTCGAGAGGCTTGCAAACAAACAGCAAGCCACGCACAGTGGGGTGATCCCCTGTCCATACCCAGACAGGTACCAGCTTGCATTGCAAAACTCTCTCCTAGCATTAACTCTACAGAAAGGGTCAGCTCATCCAGACCTTGCTAGAGGGAAAACAACACTGAAGTGAATTAATAAATAACTCAAGACTTCAGCAATGCGGCAAATGTTGCACATAAATGCAATGCAGTCTTAGATCATTTTTATCTATTGTAGAGGAGAAGGTGGACTCGACAAGTTGAAATGATAATTTGAATATAAATGAACACAGACAAAGCATTCGTATCTTATCACAGACCCACAGCATGGCAGGGTTGGCAGGGCCCTCTGGGGGTCACCCAGCCCAACCCC